AAACATTCTTATCAACAACTTCATGTTCTAACATCTCAGTATCATCTTAAACAACTTATTGTTGCAGTTACCAGGCCAATATCAGGTAAAACAATTGACCTTATCTTTACCTCTAAGGAAGATGTTATTAAATCCGGCGTGCTAGATATTGGGATGAGTGACCATTTGCCAATTTTTATCTCTAGAAAAATTAATTCCAGGATCTCAATTAAACAAGGTTTACATACAACGATTAGTTATCGCAGGAAGAAAGATTTTATTTCTAGTGATTTTGACAATGACCTTGTTGAAGAAATCCCGTTAAGCCTTTATGAAATCTTTGATGATCCAAACGATCTATTAGACTGTTGGTACTCTCACTTTATGAAAATTTTGGATAGGCATGCACCTTTAATAAAACGTAGAGTCAGAAATAATAAACTGCCGGGGTGGTTTAATTCTGAAGTACGTTGCTTTAGCCGCAAAAGAGACTTTTTCTTAAAGCAATTTCTAAAAACCAAAAACTCTGACACATGGTGTACCTACAAAAATGGAGAAATAGAACTGTTCATATTATTAAAAAGTCAAAAGAGGACTACTATAAGAACCTCCTGACTGATAATGTACATAATCCACGACAATTATGGAAAATTCTAAAAGATATCTTGCCGACCAATGACACTGTCTCCCAAATAACACTTAACATTAATGGCAAGGAGATCAGTGATCCTATCGAGGTTGGCGATCTCTTTAATGAATACTTCTTCTCTATTGCAGACAACTTTGATATCAGTTTACTAAACAACCCAATTAATACTCATTTACCAATTGCAACAAATCATATTAAGTTTACAATTCCACTGATAACAATCGATGACATACTAAATATTGCAGCCGAATTAGACCAGAACAAGTCAACCGGTCTTGATGGTATTCCTGCCTACTTCATCAAGTCCTCGATTCATTCCATTGCACCCATAATACTTCGCATTTGTAATATGAGCATTGAAAATGGCGTCTTTCCCAACATGTGGAAGAAAGCTAGACTGATTCCAATCTATAAAGCTGAAACACGTACTGAGAGAAACAATTACAGGCCCATTTCTATATTACCGATTCCATCTAAACTCCTCGAACGACATGTTGCCAACTCATATGTAAAATTCCTCACAGAAAATAATATTCTATCAAGTTGCCAGCATGGTTTTCGAGCCCATCACTCTTGTGAATCTACTCTAATATTGATCTGTGAACACCTTCTCGATAACATTGAGCAAGGTTTAATTAATGGTATAGCTCTAATTGACCTCTCCAAAGCGTTTGACCTGGTCGATCATAGACTGCTACTGCAGAAATTAGAACATTATGGCATTACTCCAATAGCTTTAAAATGGTTTAAATCGTATCTAAATGATCGTTACCAAGTAGTACAAATTGCATCATCCCTATCCAACCCAGCTCTGATAAAGTCTGGTGTGCCTCAAGGATCTATACTAGGACCAATTCTCTTTCTTATCTTTATTAACGATTTACCCAGTTACGTTGGAAGTTCTAAGCCTTTTTTATTTGCCGATGACTCTACACTAATATCCTCCGGATCGGACCTTCACGAACTTAGTGTCTCTCTAAAGTCAGATATGACCTCAGTGTCCTGTTGGACTAACCATAACAAAATGTCTCTTAATCCTGGCAAGACAAAAATAATGAAAATATATTCCCAATCCAAATTCCCTGATCTTAGTCCAATAACCATTGAAGTCAATAACAATAATGTTAAGGAGATTACATCCGCCATTTTACTTGGAGTTACATTAGACCAACATCTGAAATGGGATAGGCAAATTAATACCATCTACAATATAATCAATTCTAGACTTTACCTGCTCAAACATATACGTAGCTATCTCACTTTTCAATCCCGTATTCAATTATATTACGCACTAATCTACCCACACTTGCTATATTGTAGCACAGTCTGGGGCAATGCTAATAACGATCTAATTACGTGCCTACTAAAACTACAGAAACGTGCAGCGAGACTAATTCTTGAGCAGTCAACTGAAGTGCCTTCAATTGTGCTTTTCCGTAAACTCAACTGGATACCTATTTTTAATTTGATCAAAATATTATTGGTATTCAATACTTTAAAAACATCTTGGCCGCTGGATCTTCGTAAATTGTTTGTCTTTGTTCGCGGCTCTCATCCAATTCCAACTAGATCGTCTATTACAGACTTAAAAGTTCCATCAGTTAAGACTACGCAAGCAAAATCCAAAATTTCTTTCAGTGGTGCAAGTTTATTTAATTCTTTACCTTCCGAATTAAAAGATATTGAAAATCACTCAATTTATTCCTATAAAAAGAAGCTCAAAACCTACTTTATTCAATTGAATTATGAAGTAGATCACGTTAATAAATTCCTCTGCATCGATTGTAAGCATATTACTCATTGTCAATGTTACTCTCAATAGGATTTTCTTTTTATATATTACTATTAGATATCGAGGGCCATTGGGAAGAATACTATATTAAGTAATCAATGTAATCCCTCATTAAATAAAGTTTTATTATTGTTATTATTATTATTATTATTATTACCTACCTCGATATATTTTTCTAAGGCGCTAAATTACGTAAATTTTCGGCGAACAATCAATATTTTCTTTGCGTTTCCTCGACGAAAGCCGTGAACGAAAGCGTGCATATTAAAGTGTTCTCATCAGATGAAAGTGCTCGTCGGAAAAACTCGGTATTTGTCGAATCTGTCACGTGATTTACCACCGCGCGTACACGGTACACCGCAACACGAAATGAAAGTTGCATGCCCATATATGGGCATGCAACAAAAATGGCCTGCGCGCGAAATTTAAAATGATTTTGAGTTAATGGATGGAACATTTGTTGGGTTTCTAATTACTGTACAAAATTTCAGACAATTTGCTTTAGTTTGAGCCGTTTAACTATTCATTTTTCCCTAAAAAATCAGCATTTTGCATGCTTAATTAAGGTGGTCTTCCACCCAAATTTTCCAATATTCGTTATTTTTTAGAAAAACGTAAAAATGTAGTCTTTATAGCGTTCTTTATAAAATCCGTGTAATTTTAAGAACGAAAATGTAAATTCTACACCTTCGTAGGGTAAAACCACGATTTTACCCGGAGCGATAAAGATATGCGATTGGTTTAGTCTATTGTTCCATTTTCAATTATATTGTTCTATCTAAGTTATTCTAATATATGCAAAAACTTTAAAATCGCTTTTCTCACATGAGCATTTTGCGAAATACTAAAAACTCTCCTACTGTTCATACTGACTCAATTCGTTCGAAATTTTCAGAGTTTATTTGCTTGTTACATAGCCATGTCATGGACCTAAAAAACTTCATATATCAGCAATATACATTGCAAGAGTAGCCTTATAAGAACTCCTTTCTTCATATAATTTAAAAAAAGTAAAATATGAAGGCCTTATTATATAACTTGTATATTTTTTTAGGTTCCTGCGTCAGCTGAGGATATTTCATATTTGACTCAAATATGATGATAAAACCTTTAAACTGAAAAAAATGTTTTTAGGGTGGAAGACCCCCTTAATGCGTTTACCTAATTTGCATATTGCTGCAATATGCAAATTAGCCAAAGGCATAATTAAGCATGCAAAGGCTGATTTTTTTAGGAAAAATATTTAAAAATATTGCTGATGAAAATCACTTTTCCAAGCTGCGTATTATCAACAGTGAATGATGAAAGTCTGAGCGGGGCGTGGCCCGAATTGAATGTTCCAATATTTTTCGAATGTTCTTTCTTGAAACATACGTATTAAATTCTGAAGGGAAAGGGGACAAATTTGTAAATCAACTTGAAAATAATAACGTTGATTTATCTGTTATAGTTTGTGTATATATAATATTTTCACATTTTATCGCTAGTGCTTAATATTTTGTTACTTTCAATAAATTACATAATAAAGTGTTTACAATACAAATAAATACTTGTTATCTTGTATAAATTACGTTAATTCTACAAAAACTGATCCAGTCAGTTTTAACTACATTTAAAATGCGTATAAGATAAAGATAAGTTATTAAAAGCGACATGAAATACTACATCATTAGAAAACTAATAGTAATAAAGCGTGCAAATACGTTACTATAAAGTTAAATTAAGTTTTGGTCTATTGTCGTCCCTGCATCGACTTTTTGTGAACAGAATCTTTCTTTGCTTTGGGTTTTGTTTCGGTCTTCTGTCGCTGTTCTTGCTCATATTGCGCCAGTTGCACAGTTTTCTCTTCCAGCTGATTTCGGAAGAGTTCCAAACGTTGTACGCATGATCGTTTCTTCAACTCCAATGATTCTACCAAATTTTTCTTGGTTGTCAGGGTAACAGCAGTCTGACGTAAAAGTTCTTGTTGATGTGTATATTCATCAGATCCTTCTGCTAGCGCTTTCAGAGCGTCAGTCTTGGCAAGCGCCTCTGTTTCTAATTCTTCCACATGGCTGTTTTGGTCCAACAGCTGCACAGTAATCTCTGAAAATTCTTCATTCAGATAGTCGACTTTTTCTTGAATATCACGAATTTGAACCTAATAAAATGGAGAAAATAATTCATTATGTTTTTCATAAATCGTCTGACGGTGGGTGTACGAAAGGCAGAATAATTAAGTAACAATTATTTCTCTCAACGGTAAAATGGTCTCTGCATGGCTCTAGTGATTACTCCCTTGAGCGTGAACAATATAGGTTTTAAGTTCTTTGTATGTTTGCATGGCGATAAAACATATAATACTTTCGTTTGTGGAAACACCACGTAAATTGTTTTGTATATAAACCTCAGATTTTATAGATGGTTTTATTTTATTGTATGATTGGAAACGTTTGAAAAGATGGAAATTGGGCGAGTACAGCGAATAATCATGTAACCACTTGCAATCATTTTAAAATTATAGATTCATAAGGGCAAACATTTGTGAAATTCAGTATTGTGTAACTTATGACATTAAATTACCTCAACAAATGATCTGCGAAGATCATAATCACCGCTTGATTGGCCTTCAGTTGCTGGTCGTTTCCTTGATCCGGGATACGCTGTAGTTGATCTCGAGACAGCCATGC